AGCGATAAAAATGAAGTGATCCACGATCCACAATAGACCGACCGAAAGAAGCGAAGGAAAATTGACAGTTCGGTCTTTCGATATATATAGGTATTTGGTTTATTGTTTACAGTATGGATGTAGCTCTATCTTGCCATACATACCGGGGTGAAGAGAATGTGTCCGGGGGGGTGGGGGGCTTGCCCCCCATCAACTCTCCCCTCGGGCAGTGCCTGAAGGGCACGCCTAATCACGGCACCGTGAATTGTTAGGTTAAGTTGGATTATTGGTTAGGACGTTTTTTAGGGGGGTCTGGAAGGTGTGAAATCCCGTAGATTTTGCCGAAAGATAGGTTGGATTCCCGTAGAGTTTTTCGAACTCTGGCGCGTCGGTGTTTAGACTTTCAGAGGTGGCGGACATGTCCATAGAGATTTATTAGCCGATTTTTAGCCTTTTTTGTGCTAGTTTTACATGTTTCTGTTCGCTATTGTTCTTATTTAAGCCTGTTTTACCCCACAATTTCCCTGATATACTTCATGCCATCCCCTGCTAACGGACTTAACACATCAAGATCGTCGGATCTGATTGCAACGGAAATGATCATCAGATTCATTCTCATCAAATGAGAATAAATCTGATGATATAAATATTGTCTGGGAAGTCCCGATTGTCATAATCGAAAAATTAACCCTAGTTTTTTGTGTTTTTGTTTGCTATTCTTATTTATGCCTGTTTTACCCCATAATTTCCCTGATATACTTCATGCCCTCCCCTACTAATGGGACTAACAAATTTTAGATTGTCGATGGAAGTGGTACTCAGATCTCATCAACGAAGCATTTGCACAAGAAACGACATCAAGAATCCTTGAAATCAGTGGATTTCATGCAGATAGATATCAAAATTAGTTCGAAAGTAAGCCCCTACCCTGTTATGCATATTGACCGGTAATTCTTGAGGAGATGAAATATTTGTTTTTGGCACCTTTCTTTTGATATTAGGTAATTTTGTCTCTGCTTTAAATTTGAGTTCCTTGATTAGTTTGAATGTTCTTCCTTTTTAGTAGCATTACGTTTGTTTACTAAAATTGGTAATTGTCACCAATAGCTATGCACCCTCCC